ATATATATATATATATATATATATATATATATATATATATATATATAATAGTGTTTATTAATTAGTTAATATATAATGATTAAATAGTTTTAAGATATACTCATCAAAATTTTAAGAAAAACTGTTTTTACCTTAACTGTTTTTATACTTAAAAGAAGAATTTATTCTCTCTACAAGAATATTATTGTTAACAATCTCTCGAGAAAATGTTACCGCTAACTTTGAGGCGCCGGATCCATTTAAATAGAGCGCGAGGAGACTCAGGTGAAAAGAGGACGAGGTAGAACAAGAAATTTGAGATATAGATAGGAAAAGCAAGAGAGAAAGATGGTGCGAACGATAGATAGAATTGCACAGAGAAAACGAAACGATATAAATAACATGACAGGATCTCCAGAGAAATGAATATGAGGAAAAAGTCTAAGAAGGCATAAATGAACTGACATGTTACTGGACGATTGACGATTATATGAACAATACTCATATGTACACAAAAAATACATACTTGAATGAAATAAATGTTTCAAATATTTTTATAAAATTATATATTCGCAAATTTTTCATCTATTAATTGATTTATAAAACTTATATTTTAATGAAAATTTAGTATTTTAATGAAAAATATTAAATTAAATACCCGGCTTGCTTACTACATGGAGTAGAAGACCAATTTTTCCTTGTTTTTAAAATTTTATAATTGTTGAAAATGTGATTCGTCAAATTTGTAGAATTACTAGAACGTTAGCAAACTTGATTGACAACAAACTTTTATGTGAACCTCGAATACAATGAAATGAAGTTAGATTCCAAAATCGAACCGAACTTTTTGACACTTGCCGAATAGTTGTGCGATTGTCGTCGTGGACGCGACGAAAGTCAAAACTTACCGCTTCGTTTCAGCAAGGAGTCGTCACGCCCGTGAAGCTGGCTACCGGGTAGGAGAGTCTGGCCGGATCCGGGAGTTGCGGTTGGAATTCCCGTGGCCAAGGGGTGATGGGAAGGTGTCGCCGAATACCACGCTGGCGGCCAGCCCGCTGCCTGCCCGTTGAACATTCTCAGCTTGTCGTAGACACTCTCGGCACCCTGATGCGCCTGCACCGCGGCCGCCTGTTGCTCCTTTTGCGAGGCCAGATTTCTGAGCACCCTGTTAATGGACGACACCTGCGAGAAAAAGATCAAACCTCTACTGAGAACCAATTGAAGCTAGTGTCACTCATTAATTTATTCCTACCAGGATCGCGAAAGACCTCTGCGGAGCGCCCAACTGTTTACATTTTCATCCAACTACGCGTCGCGATTCTCATCTTTTCATAAGTTTCATAAATTCGTGATGTAACCCTCGTTTGAGGAGGGTCTGCCCCAATTTCAACACGATATTTAAAAATGTGCACATACATTTGATAGAGGAAGACACAGTATAATTGGCCCACATGTCTATCTGTTTGCGCCAAGCAGATTCGTGTGTAGGACAACCACATTGTTTTTTCGCTGTAGTAATTAGAGCTCTGCAGACCAGGGCCCGATAATATTCGAGATCCGGCGTGAGTCATTATCAAATACAACCTGCACATCGTGGCCCACTTTGTATCCACTTTGGTAAAGTCAGAGCGCGCCTGGAACGGATCGTTATCTTGTCAACAAAATGATTCTCTTGTCAACAGAATGATTGATCCACAAACAGACGCGATCTGACTTTACCAAAGCGAATACAGACCAATTCAGGTTACAGTCGATAATGAATGGGACCGGATCGGATATTATCAGGATCTTGATTTGCAGAGCTCTCGTATTAATCTGAAATTCAACTTGTCGAAACTCTTTAATCCTTAATGGCATATAACCATCATTATTGACTCGCGATGTATCCCTATTACTCCGTCCTTCATTTGAGACGGATCAAGGGAAAGGCAGACGAGGGCAAGTGAAACGGACCGACGCGACGGGGCGCGGCTCTTTGTAAAATCTCGCGACCGCAGCCACTCGTCGTTGTCGTCATCGTCCTCGTCGTCGTCGTTGTCGCACGAGAATCATTTCCGTCGTCGTCGCCGATTGTCCGCCCCTCGCCACCCCATACGAATCCTTCTTCCTCTTTTTCGTCGTCCCGCGTACCACAGATGAAAGGACACCGCCGTCCAATTATTATTACATAAAACGGTCTCCACGGCTCTTCGTATCCCCCTCTAACGCGAGCACGCTCGTCCTCGTCCTCGTCGTCGTCTTCATCTTGCGCCGACGACCGAGCCACTGGCTAACTCCGAAGTTATAACGAGCTGACGTAGTGCGGGGACCCAAGCATCGCGCTCTCTCAACTTGTACATAATGGTCCTCGGCGCGCTCCATACGCGCGCCAACCCCTTCCCCCGTCACCCCACTGCATCGACGTCGAGCTTAGTGCAGCGACGACCGGATATACACCGCCGTTAATGCGGCGGACGTCGGATATCGAGCGGTGCTTCTTAATTACGAGGTCGACTGAGAGAACCTCCACGAGAGCCTCCCGCGCGAGCACGCAAAGCCGAACCTTCTCGCGTAGTTTGACTGAAAACCGACCGAATAATGGTCGTGCGGCGCCAACGGGAAAAAGTGAGAGGGAGAGAGAACATCATTGTCGGAGTACAATGCGCGACACGGCCGATTATTAAAGCGAAGAGACTCGGGAGAGTTCGACGGCTGGCGCTCGATCAAGCTATTCGTGCATCGCTGTGTCGGCTGCACTCGCCACCGTGTCGAAACCGCGTCGTGAAACACTCTTGGTTCCCGGCATAACGATCGTCACGACGTGACGGAGACAGGTTAAGAAGCTTGAGAGAGAAGAGGTAGACGGATCTCGTTTGAATTCAGTCCGCCGCGAGGCTCGTCCCTCTTCCCGACGATTGCGAGAGCCATCGACGACGGTTTTCGACGATTTTCATCGATCGCATCGACTACGAGCAGCCACGGAGCTCATCGAGCATACGTAATTCCTATCGTCTGGGCTCGCCGCGATAGATAATAACAGGCGCATAGCGGAAGCGACGTTTCAGGACGAGTTAGCCCCGGCTAACCTGGACCAGCCTCTCCGTCATCAGACCATCCATCCAGTCTGGATGCTGAGGCAGGAGGGAGAGAAAGAGGGAGAGAGGAAGGGAGAGAGAGAGAGAGAGAGAGAGAGAGAGAGAGAGAGAGAGAGAGATCCCGCCGTACCGCTCCACTCTCGCCGCACAACAGCCGCAGCGCCGATGCAGGCCATTACACGCGCGACCGGACACGAATAATTGTGCAACACGCTTAACTGATCCCATTCACCCTGATTCTACCCGCTCCCGTCCGCTCTCGCCGCCGACTAACCCCCGTCGCACTCCCGTCACCAACCCCCGACACGATGTGTAGCCGCCACAACAGCCAACGCCACCGCCGACGCCACCAGCGATCCACTGATAGTTGAAAGAGAATCGAAACGATCGAAGAAAATATCGAAAAATCCCGACCCAATGTCTCCATCTTTCACCGCTCTTCTTGAGCTACGTTCGAAAGCAACTCTGGCGATCCCTGCTTCGTTCGCATACTGATCATACCGAAGATTTCGTACGTTGATTTTGGGATCCGAGTTTTATCGTGGAGTTTTATCATGAAATATAAAAATAAGAATAAAAAGAAATATAAAATTTCGAAAATGTACGACCAAATTTAGGTCCATACATTTTGCGACATTCAAAATTTTAAATTATTTTTTGATAAAACTACAAATAGCTATTCATGAATAAATTAAAGATATATAAATATTAAAGCTATGTGCCTCATTATTTGAGAAAAAATGGCCCACAAACAGATATATATTCTGTCGGAATAAATGGTATCATTAGGACTCTCATATAGTATAGGAAATGTTTCAAGTAATGAGAGAGATAAAAGTCCTATATCAATAAAATAATACGGATTATAGATGCTAATAATATTTATTAATTTAAGGGTGACTTTTATCAAGCTCCGATTAACTTAGTCATCGATTAATTCCGTTGTAACCAGCAAATAGCTATTGGCCAATTCTGCTAATTACAACGGGATTAATCGACGATTAAGTTAATCGGAGCTTGGTAAAAGTCATCCTGAATTAATAAATAGAGGAGACTGAGGCTATATGGCCCCAGAGATATGTTGTTCATATACTCTTTTTTCAATTTATCTTGAGAGAAATAGTGAATATAAAATCGCGAAATAGTCCTTTTAGGATATAAATACTTTTCCCTGAGTTTCATTAAAATCGGTATAATATACTAAAAAAATTATGCGATAAAAAATTAACAAACAAATATTTCCGATCAAAATGCCGATAAATTTTTATACCCGATCAGGATATCCGATTAAATTTAATCCAATATTTTCGATCATGGCATTTCATTAAATAAACCAATCAAGAAATTATGAGCCAATATTTCTCATTGTATGTTTCCTGATCGGATACAAAAATTCGTCAGTATTTTAATCGGAAATATCCGTTTATTAATTTCTTATCGAATAATTTCTCTCAGTATATTACAATTAAGAAAAAGAAAAAACTGATTTGGTAATAGCAAAGTAAATATTCGAGCCTCTCGAAATTTTGTATTAATGTTCTCCATTGTGATTGAATAAAATTAAGCGGCGTGTTACTAGCTAGAGTGACATTTCTTGCAAGTATACGATATACTGTTTCTGATAATAAATGCAATTTTCATTCATAAAATGGTTGAAATAGAACATATAGGCGTACGAGGTAAAGTTGGCTCATAATTAAGGGCAGGGAAACTGTGGAAATTTCTCGCGGAGACTCTGGAACTACTAATTAGAATACATATTTTATGCGCGGCTTTCTTTTATGCTGCGCTACTGGACAACTGAGCCCGGTACCAGGATAAAATAGCTATTTTTCTATATCCGTATTTTGGTTATTACAAAACAAAATTAATAAGGTTGTGGCGGCCATTAAGGAGAAGATTTCCCCTATTTATAGAGTTAGTTACAATAATTAATTACCTAAGAAATTGTAACTATGAAATCCTAAAATATAGGCCATCTAGTCTCGATTTCCTCTGTTATTAGCCAATTATTATATAACCCGTATTAATTGATAAATACTTTCATCTCTCTCCCACTTCCTATAACATTTTCTATCTCCTGTAAGGATCCTAACGACACCATTTATTTCGACAGAATATGTATCTTGTTGGGCCATTTTCTCCAAAATGGTGAGACGCTTTGATATTTACATATCACATCATTTTACACATTACATATCATTTTGATATTTACATATCTTTGATCTACCCGTTACAATAGCAATTTTAACAAAATATAGTTTAAGATTTCGAATGCTACAAACTAAAAACTTATGAGAGCTTAGTCGCTCTCTTTCAAAGAAATTTAAAACTTCGCCGTTTAGTAAACGTGTATCATTTGAAGGGTAAAAAGTTAACACGAAGCGACTGTGACTTCGAACCCACTGGAGAGCGACGTTCTCAGACCTAACCCCGCCGTTGGACGACGCGTTACACGCTCGACGACAGGAGAAGCGCACGGGCGCGCGCTAGACGTTCTGATTGATCACCCTGCAACCCCCCGTCATCTGTCCGTCGACTTTCCTCATCCACGGCAGTTACTACGAGCGCACCGGCAAGAAAGAAGGAAAGAGAGATCGTTCCACAAGCCGATGGATAACGACTTGTACGCGTGCCATCCCCCTCGGTATTTCTGACGGCCGGCCGATAGAGAGGGTGCCGTCGGAGGGGGTGTTCCTTCTCGAAGGAGCAGCCAGACACGGACAATTCCGACCTCCGAGGATATTTCGCGCGGTCGATCGGGAAAAGGGACGAGTGGGCAGGATGTTTGGTAGACGGACGTACGGCCAAGAGAGGATTCTTCGAGGGCAGAGCGACCAGCGCGCAAGAGAGGGTGGACAATGCCGAGGTCCGCGTAATGGACCGATTACCCCTCCCAGGCGATCGCATTGACGAGACTTTGATTAGGGTCGAGTGGCCGGATCCGACGGGTAAGTACACCCGACCGGCTGCGCGCCACGATAAGTCGACGGCGGATTACGCGTAAACTTATACTGTGTCCAATCAATGGCCCGGCATGGCGCCGACACGGGAAATTTATTCGCGCGTCGCGGCGGGTGCGATAAATCGACGGCGAGAACGAGTCGCATCCTTGAGGGGCCGGAATTCGCGACGTGGTCCACTCAGCGACGAGCTCACGCCTGGCGTTCGCCGCAACATGTTTTCACCGATCTGTGATCGTTCGGTTAAAAAGAACTCGTTGCTGTCGATTACACTGGTCAATAATGGACAAAATGAGTACAATAGACCGATTTTAATTTAAAAAGTGTAACGTAAATTATAATTTATGTAATTATAGTATATGTAATCTTTGCACTTTTTGGGTCACTGAATACGATTTTTAAACCCATGGAAAGAGTTAAAATTCGCCTTAAAGGAGTCAAGTCACTTTTAATAGTAATTTGACGATAATTTTGTTTCAATTATTTAATTATTTGTATTATTGCTTAGGATTTTGTGACTTTTTTCTTTAAAAACCAAGGAAACATACGTTAGAATGAAACACTTCAGAAGTGAAATTTAACATAACGAAATCGACATACTATATACATATATTTTGTTGATTTCGTTATATTAAATTTAACATTTTTGTAGTGTTTAATTTAGAAGTGTTTCCTTGGTGTTCAATGAAAAAAATTATAAAACTAAACTATAAAATATGAATAATTAAATAATTGAAACGTAATCGTCACTAACTAAATTACCATTAATAAAAAAATGACTTATTTCGATTTCTTTAAGGCGAATTTTGTTCACTTTCCCACGGGTTCAGTCGGGTAAAAATCATCATATTCAGTGATTCAAGAAACGCAAAATTACATGTATAACTTACATTACATTGTTTAGGTCAAAATTGAGTAATGTTACCTATCATCCTCTGAACTCTTCTTCGCTTCATGAATATAAATCATTTCTGACGTATCTTTACCTGCGGAATCCATTCTTTAAATTTCGCTATTAACTCACAATTTTGAGAAAAATGGTGACAAAGATACTAAAAACGAACAATTCTGAATTTCATGAGGGGTCATAGTAAATTTTTTTCCTAAATTTCATTAATATTACACAAGAGTACCAATGTTTATCTTGTATTTGGTTTTGTTTCGGTATTATTTTTTTACGTTTTCGAGATATAACTAAAATAAAAAACGTTGGTCGCGCGCGTTTAGCATCAATAAATATTTACGAAGCATAATATTCTAGTCTAGTATAGTATTATTATTATAAAATAGGATTTTTTGCAATCTTTCAAAGTATTTCAATTTTAACGGATATATTATGTAATACCACCTTTATTATGGACCACATGAGCTTATTTTTAACGAGAGCCAATTATAAATTTTACGATAAATAAATTTTAATTATGATATTCGTGTTCAACACGTTAAAATCATTCGGACATTTTCACGTCAAAAGCATTTTCATTTGTCGAGTGTTATCACCTATCTGCCTGGCTGTGCGTTTTTCCTTTTCCTCCTGTTTCCCCTTGAATCGAGCAGAGCTCGCGTATGATGTTCTTTACTTACGCTGGGTATATTGTCGTTATTGCAAACGCCCTCCTGCAAAAGCCGATCGCGAATTTCCCAGGCGAAGATCGAGGGACATTCCCGTTTGTAATCGGCGATTTTGTTGACCACAGGAGTTGTCGCCACCCGTGGCTTGCTGCCGCCGATCGCCCGTGGCTTGATCGAGCCGGTCTCATAATACCTGCGAAAGAAGGCGAGAGGGGGATCGTTATTTCCGCTTGACACACGTTAACGTTTACGTGTCGACAGGCCTTTTAAACGTACTATAGTTATTGAAAAATATACGGGATACTCTACAAGAAAGGAATCTCTCATCGAACGAGAGTTAGACATTTCGTAAATGACGAAAACTATGGCGTTATCATTGCGCCAATATTCTGTAATAATATAAAAAATTCAACACGAACAAATTCCCTTCTTGTTTATATTTCCAATTGCTCCAAAGCTTCGACGAGCAACAGCAAGATAAGTAATAAACAGGAAGCGAATTTCTCGTCGCGAATCATATCAAACGGTGTCTTTATCAGTCACGTCGACAATAGTTGTGTTCTGTAATGATTTCATTCCTTTAATTGGAATATCTTGTAATGGAGACAGCAGCAATCAATCTCATCGCCACTTAATCGTCACGGCTCGAACGCCCACGGGATGCGCCCAAAACGAGAATTTTGATCCTACTTTCGACCTTAATATTCCACTTAACACCTTATTTTAATGTACACTGAAGCCTGTATCAACTTCTTTCCATCTCATTTAAGCTACTAATTTTGCCAGGAAGTCTTCTTTAAAACCTACACATAGCATTTTGTGGGTTCTCTATTTTTTCGAATAGGACTTCCATGAAACACACATTACTCTATCAAAATATAACAAATGTTAGAAAGTTCAGGCCGAAAGGACTAAATGTGGGACTAAAATGTCGTCCCAGGTGGACAGGAGACGCGCTTACTTACCTGCCGAGGATCTTGGAGACGCATCCATTGCTGACCTGCAATATGCGCGATATGTCGCATGGTCTGGCCCCGCTGTGGGCCAGCTCGACAATCTTTTGCCTCGTGGAGTCCGGCAATGGTCGGCCATTGACGTAAACGCCGCCAAGTTGGTTAACCCCGCTGTGTCCTGCAGCCGAACACCCAAATATTGAGTTCTGTCCGACCATAGAACCCCCGCCAATACCCGGACCACCCCCGTGCATCAAGTCCTCTTCTGTGAATCAAAACGCGCGCAACGTGTACGTCACTTCGCCAGAGAACATCTGATTGGTAAACAGCAGGGTATACGCGCCGAACGCGTTCTTATTAGTCTAATTAGCGCTCGCACCCGTCGAATCCTGTCGAAGCGGCAGATTGAACGCCAAGGGAGATGTTTGCGCCGCGATCATACGCTCCGCCGCCCTGCGGATGTCACGTAACGAAGATCAGTTTGACCCTTGCGCGCCGATTAATTCGGTGTGCCGTGTGTGTTACCTTATTACGGGCGTTTATACCGGTATGCGCCCACGTCGTCGTGGTGCCGTGCGCGCGGCGGGGGGCGCCGAAACGGAAATACATCGCGTGCGATGCGTTCGACGTTAACGATGGTGGTAATTGCGACGCGGCGGTACAATGGCGGCACGGCAGACGCACGGTTACGTATCGTACAATTTAGTCGTCATGAGGAAGTCTGTAGGAACTGTAAAACGATCAAGCTCACAATGTAAATGAACGTGCGCGCGCGCAGGGATAAACGGAAATGTATACACGCGCAGCTCGCTCGGCTGGATACGAAGGAAACGGAGTCTCTGAAGGACATGAGATCTCATGGTGAACAGAGAGGAATTCCTTTTGCTTTTGACACGCGCGTCTCGGTGCGCAAAAGTGGACCTTTCGCTCTTTCCCGTTACTTTGTTAAATTCTCGTGACATGACTTCGGCGCGAGGAAAAGGCTGGAACGAAAAGGCACCGTGTGCACGGACAACGACGAGAGACTCGAGGAGTGCCAGCAGCGTTGCTAAATGCATCTTGCAATTAACGAATTTAATTAATTCCCGCTTTTGCGCCACGCAAAGCGACAAGAAATAGTTGGAATGTAATCTTGAATCGCCCGCACCGCCTCCGTCGCTGTGCGAAACCACTTTGTATAACGCGTTTTCTCGCTCGCCGTTTCCACACTCCCCCTTTCCCCCTTCTCACTCTTTTCCACTCCCGCTTCTCTTTCCTTCTACGTGTCTCTTCCTCTCGTACTTCCTTTCGTCCTTCCGCCACTTCTGTCGTACCTCGTTTTCGCTGACGCGAAAAGATTGAGAATCCGGCGCGCATTTCGTGATCACTCCACCGAAAGTGTCGAGGGCAGATGGTGTACGATTTTTTGGGAGATAAATTATCGTAAATTATGGGAAAAATGACAGCGCTCTCTTGCATCATGGTGCTATGAACGGAGTTAGTATTCAAACGGCAATATTTTCATAAACGTCGAGGATCAGACATACATTAATAGGAATGTTACTAAATGAAAAAAATATATTCCTTTCAGACTTCCCTTTGTAACTTTGAATATCTCAAAGTAAGATGATTTTATAGGAATCTTGGTAAAAATAACAGGCCGCCTTGAATTGCATCAGTTCCCGCGTAGATCCACTTCTGAGAAGTGTTTCACTCATTCGCTACTATCCGCGTCGGCACGATACGTTCGCCTACGATTCCGCGCCTATCGCGAAAGGTTTCCCCCAGCTTCAACCACCCTCGCATTATAACCAGGGCTTTTTAAGCGAATCCCGAGCACGGTGAAAGGAATAACGGGGACGGAATATGGAGAACGAGGAGGGAGAAATTGGAGTCGAGAGTCTTGTTACAAATAATTCCGCGACGAGGCGCCGCGGAAATTTTCGAGGAGGCACTTCTTACTTTTGCCGTTTTATCGCGGAAGCAATTCTGCAACTCGCAAATGCATGAAGAAAGAAAGAAAAAGAGAAAGAAAAAGAGAGAAAGAGAAAAAGGAAGAGGGAGAGAGAGATAGAAAGCTAAAAAGAGAGGAGAGAGGGATGTGTTGCAGATAAAATGATTGTTTGCAAAGCGTGATTTCGCGACCATAATTTAATTCCGCAACGATGTAATGGCAAACGTTTTGAAACACAGCGGGAGATATTTTGCGACACGTTTAAAATAGTATAAAAAAATTTTGATGCATCGACCGATCGCGTGTTCGCGGCTGTATGTTACAAATGACAGGATACAATACGCGCGCGTGGATTCGATCATCGATTCATCGATTTGTCGATCGCAAACCCGTCATCGTTTTCCGCGAGGTTCTCGCCTGGGTGAGCCCGCGAGTCCCTTTGATTATGCGCGCGATGTTTAAAATAAAATAGATAATGATAAGGACATTTTCTGCGAGGTAATTAATGCGGCGTTCGCCGTAACTTCTTTCATACTGGTGCCTAATGAATATTCAACCGTTGCTCGAATTAATAAGAGCACGTAGATCCGCGAATAGGATCGCACCGCTTAGCACGCGCGATAAGAACATCTTGAATTATAATTTTCTCCAACACGTATTCGAAAACCGGCTATGAGAAATGACACTCTAAGTAAACGTCTCCGCTTTTTCTCGCACGCGCGATTGATCGTCTCAATATTACTACTCAATATTTATACTAAGGGAAAAAGAATAACTGATCTAAACTAAAATTGTATATGTATATAGAGAGAGAAAGAGAAAGAAAAAGAAAAAAAGTTATTATGTTATGGCCCTAACAATATCTTTTGGTTGTATTAACATGGTAATAGTAGTAACATGCACATATAAGTTTATTATCGTTAAAATTATAATAGAATTTAATAAAAAATAATTTTCTTGACTAGATAATTTATACACATAATTATCATTTCATGTGATTATATTACGTTTTTTTCTTGGTGTATACACTGAGAGAAAAAATAAATAAATGAATCTAATAAATGAAAAAAAGATTTGTTCGATGGACACTAATAACATATTTACTTGTACTAATTGTGAAAAAATATTTACTATAACAGTAACTTGTCAAATATTTTTCAAGTAAGATAATTACATTTTTTCAAACCTCAATTTTCTATGAAAACAATTATTTATTCTATTTAAATAAAAAAATTTTAAGCATTTATTATTAGCATAGATAAATAATAGATATGTTATTAGTATCTGCAGGATAAATATATTTTTATTTTTTAAACATTTCTTCTCCTACAGTTTATCATTCGTTTACACTGAAAGAAAAAATAATTGATCGAACTAAAATTATAGTTATTTTTGGCAACCATATTTTTTATAGAGAAATAGTAGAGTAGTAACTTGCATATAAAATTATTATCGCTAACATTATAACGAAATTTAATTGAGGAAAGTGATTTTCTTAACAATAAATTGTAAGAATTATTTTCCTGTGCGATTGTAGTTACAAATACCAGATATTTTTCCCTTAGTGCACGTACCAGAAAGAAAAGAAGCACCCTCTCTCGCAATGATCTCTGGATTTATTATCGCTGTGGCTTATAATTTTCGCGTATTTAATTAAAAAGCACCTAACTCGGCTCACACCTCACGGGGACCCGATCCAAAGACGCTTTGCGCTCTTTCGAATCGCTTCATCCTTCCGGCCGAGCGGCTTTGCGTTAAAAATAGTCGCTGGTCAAAGCGAGGACGCGTCGCCGCGACGGAGCTCGACGGCCTCGTCCTTTGAAGGGACGGCGCGCACGAGTCCGTGCTGTTTTTCACGAGTTTAATTCGTTACAAAGGGTGGCAAGTGTACACGACTTAGCTGTACACGCGCGAGATTCACCCTTTCGCTCCGTCTTTCGTCTCATGCCGTCCTTCCCGCGGGGGTGGGAGGGGGTGTACAGGGAGGGAGACGGGGAGAACGGTCACCAGCGACGACAGGGGAACGATGCTGGCTGGAGGGCTCGAATATCGTACGAGCCCGACGCCGTCAACCCGTGCATACACCCGCCTGCCGCACACATTCTTTATATATAATTTCGCGTTAATCTACGCGGCGGTGCGGCGCAAAAGCGAGTCGCGCCGCAAAGTGAGGCAAAAAGGTTCCACTTGGCTGAGCGTGAAACGGGACACAGATTAAATCCCATCCTGTGCAACCCCGGCGCACGACGTCGCGGCACCCTCGTCCTCCCCGGCGCTCGTTCCGTTCCGCTCCTCTCCGCGCTGCTCGCCCCCGCGACGCGACGCTCCGCTCGGTCCGCTCGGTCGAGTCACCCTCTGCCGTCCTCGCCAAACATCCCCCGAATCTCCACTCTAGGCGAGAGACGGTCTTTAAGCGCGGAAACGATCGCCGGGTGCTTAAGATGCAAGAGTAGACACGCGCGGCCTTGCCCGACGCGATCTCTCCCGTCGACCAACCGCGGTGAAAATAGGACTCGGGTCACGGAGAAAACTCCAAGGATATCGCACTCTTAAATATGGTTGCCATAACAAAATATTAATGTTATTTTTTGTCCATACAAGATGCTATGATAATCATCTTGTTATCTATAGTAACCATAGTACATATTGGAAGTGATATACTGGCCTTCCTTGCTATCTGTCTATACGTGTTTGAGCAGTACTCTCACTGCCATATGGTGCGACCAAACTTTATGGATCTTTTAAATAAATAGTAGGAGATACCAAAAGAGTATTTTAAATATATACGCTATATCTCAGAATTTTGAAATTACAATTTCTCAAATAACTAATTATTATGACTGACTCTACAAACATGATAGCCTTCTACTATGTGTTAATATCCACTATGATCCTGTTAACCGCATTTTTGTTTTACAGTAATCACAATACAAACATGCAGCAACATGGCCTGATACCGAATTCAATTGTCTATTAGCGCAGGATAAAAAGACTACACACGAAATATGAATCCTAGTTAATAGTTCTAGAATCTCCACAAAAGATCTCCACAGTCCTCCTGCCGGCCTTAATGATGGGCCAACCTTTACCTCGGCCGTCCATATGCTCGATTTCAGTAATTTTTTTAATGAAAATTGCTTTCCAAAAAAGAATATATCATATGCAAGAAACTTTATTTAACTAGCAACACGTTGCTTAACTTAATTTACTTACGATGAAGAATATTAATACAAAATTCACCAGGCTTGAAAATTTACTTTGCTACTACTAAAGTACAGTTGTTTTTATTCTTTGACTGTAATATTATTTCCCGATTTTAATGAAACTCAAAG